TGACATGAAGAAAATAGACTTCCAACCCTCTCCTGTTAACCGGGGCAAAGATTGTCCGGAGGCAAATGTTGCTCTGATGCCAAGAGACGTACAAAGTCCGTTTGCTGGCATTGGCAGCGGAAGCCTTGATCGAGTCTTTTCGTTCCCTGCAGCCGTTTCAAGGAGGCACCGCTTATCGACGGCAGCGTGCTAATCCCGGGAGGGGGCAGGAGGGCAGAAACCGCTGATCGGGCCACGGGCAGTGCTGCGGGTCCTGCTGGGGCAGGCTCGGGTACCACGCGCAAATGCAGGGTGCCGATATCGTCACCAGCCAAGTATTAAATTGCTTTGCGATCCCAAAAGAACACAATTAAGATTAACGGCGTTTGGCTTTTTTTTTTTTTTTTCCCACCTCAAACATCCAAACATGCCAATGTTGAAATGGAAATAACTTTTCTAATATAATTGTTTTTACCTTTCTGTGGCTTTCAGAATGAATATCATAAAATGGTTGCCTTTACTTCCTCTTTTTATAATGTGTTTCTCATGCCATTTAGCACAGTATAAATGTTGGTGCTCCCCCACAGGTCCAGCAAATTGTTTACTTTATAAAATCCCTTATTTTTGTTTTCTAGTCCTCATTTGCATTCATATTAGATTTAAAAAAAAAAAAAATCAAAGAAATCTTTCACATGCATCTCTGAATTTGGAGTGGGTGAACCCAAACAACTGGGGTGGTATTGTGGGGTTACAGGGAGCGCTGTGTTAGGGAACTGTGCTGAAGAGAGGAGCCAGGGAGAACCGGGCTTGTATCTCATCGGTGATAATGAAAATCGGGTATTTGTGCCAGATACTGCAGTGGAAATATCCCTTTATGTAGCAAGATCTGTGCCCAAGAGGCAATGTCAGAAATTTAGAAAAATGAAGCAGTTGTAGAGGAATTGAGATGTGTGACTCAGCGATGAGACAGGGGAGATGAAATGATGATTTCAAAGATGTTGTTACCATTACGTTGTCTAATTAGTAAATCAGTTTAATTTATCCGCCCGTGCTGTTCAGGAGGGGCAGTAACACAGAAGCAAACCTGTTCCTCGGGCTTCAGCCCACCTGAGCTTTTATTACATCAATAGCCCGTCCGGTGTTCCCGAAAACACAGCACGCGCTTCCCGAGGAAGGTAATGAAGTTTCCCTTTTTTCCTTCATTGTCTTCTGCACTCAGATTGAGAGACAGTCAGAGATTTGGGGGATTTTGGATCATGCCCACTGCAGCTGAAGCGGGCGTTCTCTCTAGCTGGACGCCATCCAGTTGGCTGCCACGGGCTGAACACGCGCCCTTTGTATCCTGCCGTAAAAATGCCATGAGCTGAAGTTTATTTAGCAAAGTCATTCCTTTTGGTCTGACATCTGTGTTACATGGCAAGGGAAAAGACGACGTGAACTTTCATAGTTAGGATGTTATCGAAGACTTCTGATTAGACTGCAAAGCAGCAGCAGGACTTCCTTATTGATTTTCCACCCCCAAGTTTTTGGGTAAATGTTTTGAAGTTTTTTGCCACCCACCAATTGGCAGAACAAAGAAAGGAATCCCACACCTGACTCCATGCCGAAAAACTGGCACTTTTTATTACTTGCGATAGAGAGAAGGCACCGAATATGAGGCTAGATCGGGTCTTGCCAAATCACAGTTAAACAACTCGGGATGCTGTCATTGCAAGGAATCTGGAAAGCCAAAAATTGGCAGTACAGAGCAAACCATTTGGCAGACAGCGTGTCGTTTTTGGAGCCCAAGTCTGTAATTATGTCCTGTGTCCTCTTGAGAGGAGATGCCAAAGTTCCAGCCTTAGCAGGTGGCTCGTAACTGAGCGGAAGAAAACAACAGGGAGCGCTGACTGTAAGTTAACAGCAAAAACATATATGTGGGCCCTGATAAAGTTCTCGAGTTAAGAGACGCAGACGTGGCTGGGGGGATTATGTGAAACCCAGATGAGAAAGCCCCGCTGGTTTGGTGGGAAGAGTTCTACCTCGGATGGGAGGAAACACTGCTTTCTCTAAAACAGGCACTTACACGAGATGTTGGGTTAAAAATGAAGAAGGCAGCAGATTCAATATTAACGTGATTCGTTGGTATAAAAGGTCAACGCGATGCCTTAGAAAGGAGGGTGCGGGACAAGCTGCATTGGGAGTTCTGTTTGTTGGAGACTTTACATTTTCAAAGCTGGTTTTAGCTTAGAATGTCACGTCATCCATAAGAGAAAGCAATCAGGAGCTGGCTTTTCATCCTCTGCTGCTGATTTATGATATCAGTTTGTCGAGTGATTTATTGTCTGGTCCTTTTGGAGGATAATTGTATCCATTCCCAAAAAAATGAAAAAATTTCTAAATTTCTGTTTCAGAATAGCCTAAATTCTGGCTGTTGCACACAGAGGGGCTGCTTCAATGCCAGATTTTGGTTCATAATGACGAGTAAGGGAAATGTTGGGCATTAAGGTGTCTGGATACAAGAGGGAATAAATTACCAGCCGACGTCCCTGTCTTGTGGGTGCTGTGTGCGCTCTGCTCATTTCCTGTGGGTGCATTCTTTTCACATTCGAGTCTTGTTGCTATTTTTTAATAAGTCGCTCAGACTAATAGCCACTGTTATTTGCCTTTCGTCTAAGGACTTTTTTTTAACCATAACTTCTCACATGAGACTTGTTCATACCACTCTTGTTTTGCCTTGTATGTGTTACACGCTGAATAAAGCTCTCGTTGAGAGGACAGGAACGCTTCCTTAGAGATACCCCAAGCACTGAAAGTTTCTCCCCCTCCTTTCTAGGGCAGGGAACGAAACAGAGAAGTCTGGTTAAAAACCTTCAAATTCTTTCTGTAGATACACTCTTCCCGTGTTTATTCACTCCTCTCTACTTGAGAACGCTCCCCGCAGAAAGGCGGTCGGTCTTCTGCTCTTCCGTGTGCAGTGGTTGCACCTCCAGCCGCTCCTTTCCTTCGCTCCAGCGGGAGCCGGGCTGAGCTGTGAGATGGACATGAAGGCACCGAGACCACCAACGCTCCAGAGTCTCCCTGCTAACGCACGCTCTGCGACCTCTTCACCTGGGTCCCCGCGAGTGTCATCCTTCTGTCCCCTCCTGCTGTGCTTGGCCTCTGCTGAGGCATCCCTTCGCAGGCGCTTACCTTCCATGTCACCGCAGCTGGCTGCGGGGCCGGGAACCAGTTGTTCCTCCGGCGTGTGACATGTCCTCGCTTGATGGTCAGGATTTAAGCCTCAAACGTCAGATTTTGCGTGTCGCTTGTGTCTGACGCCACCTCTTTCATTAGCAGTGATGCAGCAGTTTAGAAGTTGCTGCACAAGCTTCGACTATTTCTGGAACCCGTCTGCGTGTGCGTGCAGCGGGATTCTGTTGCAAATTCCCTGCAGTCTTTTGGTATAAACTAGTGTTTCTGCCTCACCGAAATGTCACAGATAAAAACAGAGCTGGACATTCAAATACCCAATGCCTTGAGCCTCACCCCTACTGCTCTGTTGGATTTATGGAGAGTAAAGTTGTTTACTGGACAGTAAATATTAAAATGCGATTGTTTTAGCTACAGACGGTCATTAAATATTGCTGAGTTTTAGCAAAAGCTTTTCCTAATGAACTAAATACTGCCGTTGCATCTCACTGCTCCTCCCTCTGAGCGCAAACTTGTGTTTGCTTTCATATAATTATGCTTTTTGGCTGTTGGAAGATGCAGGTTGGCTTAGCCCATTAACTCGGTGGTGTGTGGTCCTTCGGGGTGAGCACAGGTCCTTCGGGGTGAGCACATGCGGCAGACCGTGTCTGAGCCTGAGGGGCAGCGTCAGGTCCTGCACACAGCTACGCTTCGAAGTGCAGCAAGCCCAGGAGGTTAGAAGAGGGAATGAGGCCCATACCTCGGACATGGGGATAAAAACCCCAGGTTCGAGTTCTGTTTCTGAAAATCAGATGGGATCTCTGCTTTTTTTGTTCCGTGAAAAAAATGTCCCCGTTCCCACGCAATACACAGAAATGGAATTTAATACCTGCTTTTGCGGAAAGGTAGGAAAGGTGTAGGAGTAAGCAGGACTTGATCAAAGGGAGGTGATTCTTCCCCTCTACTCTGATGAGACCCCACTCATTGGGGGCTCTGCAGCCCCCAATGTAAGAAAGACACGGACCTGTTGGAGGCCCAGAGGAGGGCCACAAAGATGCTGCGAGGGCTGGAGCACCTCTGCTGTGAGCACAGGCTGAGAGAACAGAAAGGCTCCAGGGAGACCTTAAAGCCCCTTCCAGTCCCTAAGGGGGCTACAGGAGAGCTGGGGAGGGACTTTTTACAAGGGTGTGTAGTGATAGGACAAGGGGGAATGTCTTCAAACTGGAAGAGGGGAGATTTAGATTAGATATTAGGAAGAAATTGTTGAGTGTGAGGGTGGTGATCCCCTGGGGCAGGTTGCCCTGAGAAGCTGTGGCTGCCCCATCCCTGGAGGTGTTCAAGGCCAGGTTGGACGGGGCTTGGAGCAACCTGGGCTGGTGGGAATTGTCCCTGCCCAGGGCAGGGGGTGGAACTAGATGATCTCCAGGGTCCCTTCCAACCTAAACCATTCTATGATTCTAAGACTGATCACTCCCTCACCCACCGAGCAATGCCAGTGTGGCCCTGCCGGCGCCCAGGAGGTTGGGCCAGTACAGCAAGGGTAGACACCCACGGACGCAGTCACTGAAGCAGCCAGGGAGGAGATGGAGAGGGCTGTGGGAAGAATGACAGATCAGGACAGAAGAGCGTGAGAGGTAGAGGAGGACCCCTGCTGAGCTGCTCGCAGCATAAGGTGCCCCAGCTCCAGGGTGGCATGTGGACGGCTGAAGCGTGCGTGAAACCTTCAGCCCTTATGAACACACTGTTCCATTTTAAACTTCTTGCATGTGTTTGGTAGGCAGTTGTTGAGAGAATCGTGTTCCCTTCACCATTACTGTGTCTCTTTTTCACCTAAGCGACTAACTGTTTTATTTTTTGCCCTTCTCTCCTAGATCTCAGACCTAATACGACAAAGCACAAAGGAGTCCCCAGTCTGGGAGTTCCTCAGCTTGGGGTACGCACTCATGCTCTGCCCGTTTGTCGTTGTCCTAGGAGGGATGTTCTTCCTGGCCACAGCCCTCTTCTTCCTAAGTGACCGAGCCAAAGCTGAACAACAGTGAGTAACCTGGCGATTGCAAATGGGGAGGTACCGCAGCCTGTTTCCTCTCGTGAACGTTATGCTTGTACCCTTTCCCTGGCCTTGGTCCATCCCAGGTCAAGGACGTCGGGTTGTGTGTTAAGAACCTGAGCTCAGCGGAATGCATGAGGCTGCACGAAGCACCGGGGTGTGGGTCATGCTGGCTGGGCACCCTTTACACGCTTCTGCTCTGGTGGATCTCAGTTGTTGGCCATACGGCCTGGAGGGGAGCACCGTATTTGAGGTCACGGGCCCCTCTTACCCTTGGGTGAGCACGCCACAGCCCAGCCCGTCTGTGGTGAGGGGTTGCTGTGTGCTGGAACACGTGGACTGCTAGGTGAAGAGCGAGAGATACTCTACAGAGCTTGGTGGTCATCTTTGAGCCCGCAGTCCCGTCCAGCCCCCCATGCCCTGCTCACTGCCTCCAGTACGCAGGAACATCAGGCAAGAGGAGGAAAGCTGTGAATGTGGGGACACACGTGCTCAGGGGTCGCTGTATTAAAGATAGTCTTTCCCAGTCCCTCATTGCAGCTTGTAAAAAAAAAGCTACTGTTTTTCAGTAAAGAAACCGATTCGGACCACCTCACGGTTGGCAACTACAGTAATTCAGAAGACGCTTCCACATGACATACAAACTTCTGGGGTTAGTCTCTTTCTCATAATTGTCGAAAAATAAGAGTATCTGTGTATAATGTCATGCTGAATATGGGGGCAGGTGACTAGTCTGGTGTTGGCTATAAGTTGCTTTTGCCTTTCTCCCGCTGGGAGGAGGAGGTATCGTTCCCGCGGCTCGGCTGCGAGAGCCGTTTGCGTTGGGTGAAGGGTGACGACGCAGGCGTGCCGTTGTACCATCAGCACTGCGTCGGCCGTCCGCGTCAACGGGAATGTTGCATGAGCGGGCTCTCCCTCTGTAAATCTCGCTGCGCAAGGGTTTGTGTCGGCTTAATGACACAGACGTAGATATGCAGAGTGAAAAAATTACAGTGCAGGCTTGTTCACAGCCCGTGGAATTCTGCACACGAAGAGCAGGGTAGACCTTGCTCTACCTTAAAGAGAAGGGCCCTGAGGTATCCCTGGCGCTAGATGTTGTACAGCTCGAAGGAAAATAAGGTGTTTGGGGGTTGACGTAAGTGTGTGAATGGTTTTGGTGATACTTTCTGGCTCATACTGTCATATCAGATGGACACGAGAGATTTGGAAGCAGTGCCACAGATGGTGCTGGGACCCTGTAGGAGCAGTTCCACGTTCCTTTTACTAACACACACAAATACCAGAGAGAGGAAAGGTTTTTTGCCTCCTGGTGCCTTTAGACGTACACATTCTCCCTATAATGAGCACATTCTCCCTATAATGAGGTGTTTAAACACGATGGAAAAAACAAGACCTCGTCGTGTATCTTGTAAGGTTAAGTCCTGCACAGGTGAACTTCGGGGTGGCTTTGGAGATGTGACGTGACTGATGTGTGCCTGGTTTATTATCTGCATATAAGGGCTTTAAATTACATTTTAAATCAAATTTAAGTGAAATCGGAGATTAGATGTTAGGAAAAACTTCCTAAGAGAAAAAAAGAGGTAAATCCTACAGCATATTATTTGGAGGAGACATGGAAGCTGTCCTGTGTTCCTGAAGGCCTCCCTGGGTTGGTCTTGAGGCGGGAAGGTGGGAACTGCTCTCTGGCTGCCTTCCAGCCCCGTTTCTGCACTCCTGCGCAGAAGCTGTATGTGCAAGGCTGGGGACATGGCAAGATGAACATAAGTTTCTGGGTGCTCAGGGCGGCTTTTTTTGATCAGGTAGTAATACAACGCAGCAGTTGAAATCCCCCTTGTGTAGCCTGAGTGTTGGCCATCACCGAGGGCCCCCACCTCTTTCTAGGAGAACTTCAGTATTGGTCTTCAGTATATTTAGAGGGGAGAGGGCTCATTCCCCTTCCAGTTATGGTGGGGAGATGTACGCTGTTGCCCTGCGTGTGTTGCCGGCGTGGCGTGACAGCATCTCAGGTGGTGAAGGAGGGTGTCAGCACTCAGGAACTGGCGAATTTTGGGTCACTTCCATCTTTCTCTGCACATCGAGCCCCACCTGGACCTTCACCCCGGGCACAGCTCTGTGCTCCCCAGTTGGTTGTCGCAGAAGAGGGCTTTCTCGGGAGGCCCCGCGGGGTGCGGGCTGGTGGCTCTGCTCGGGTGCCAGCGCGGGGGAATCTAACGGGGCTCTGTTGCAGTGCCCCAAAACACCAGCTCTGCAGCAGCGTTACTGGAGGGGGGAGGTCCCATCCCACAGCTCTGCTTTCTCCTGCACTAGAGTGGTTATTTCTGTCTGTCGCCGCCCAGCCTGAGCGGATTTGGCTCTGCTCTGTTCACATCCAGAGCATACCCGCGCCCCAGCCAGTTACCAGGCCACTTTTTGAAGAAACATATTTGGGGTTCAGCCCTGGTTTTGTTGCTCGCTCTCTCTTTCAGCATCCGTCCCTTTCCTGGTCTGTCTGATTCCCATTTGTTCATGAATTTTTTATTGTTCAGCTACCGAACTGGCTCAGATAGAGAGAGAGAACAGTTGTCATAAATAACGGTTAACAAAATAATTCCTCCTAAACGGCTTCTACCGCCCTGTTTCTGGGATATGCCCACTCCCATGTTAAAAATACCCTGGCGTCCTACAGTCGGATTCCTGGAGAGCGCAGCTTAATTCAGGTTTGACACATTACTGACCAGCAAGATGGGGTCTGGGATAAGGCTGGGATAAGGCTGGGATAAGGCCGGCAACGGCGGCGCGGGGCTCCTCTCCCCGCCGTCTGCAGCGCTGTCTGTGCTGTCCATCGGATCCCGTCTGCCGTTGCCGACAGGTTCAGTGGTCTCCTCGGAAGAATTGATGGGGGAGGATTTGTTTGTTATTAGCTGCACACTTGCCTGTGAGAGGAAAGACAACAGAGCATTTTGCTATTAACAGCCAAAAACTCCATGCTGACTCCAAATCGGAGGTCCAGCTCCCACCCATCCGACTGACCATCTGCACTTGGCAGTGCCCACCTTTGGCAAGGACAGCTCTCTGCCCGGCCGGTCCTCCCTCCTGCCCTACCCGTTACTCGCTGGGTACGGGAGGATTTCTTTTTCGAGATGCCTTGTTTTCCCTCTGCAGCCAGTCATGCTGCTCAGACAACGGGACTTGGAAATGGGTTTTGCCAAAAGAAATCAATTAACCTGCGGGAATCGCGAGCGCTGGTGTCACACGCCAGAGATTAAACCCATTCATCACCAGTAGGGTCAGGGCACGCAGGGCAGATGTCACAGACCTCTCTAAGGAACTAATATGGAAGCAAAGCAGTGTAACGCTGCTCTCTGCAGCTCTGCCTACGGAAATTAAGCTTTCCCGGCTTTGATTTCCATGCTTCTGTGAAAAGTAGTTCAGGGTTTTATTGCCGGGATTTTTTCGTTTGTTTGTTCCTTTGTGTACTGGTCTCTGGGCGTTTGCTTAGAGAGAATTTTTTCTTCCAGGCAGGACAGACTATCAGGACAGCAACCTCTCCTTCCTGTAAAGCTTCCTCCAGTTTCCACCACACTTCCTTTCAAAAACAGAATTTCCAGGCTTTCAGTGCCTCGTGACTTTTTTTACGCTACTTTTATCATTGCCACAATTCCTGGCATATTTTGTAGATCGCTTTTTTAGCACAGGAATTCCAGTCAATAAGGCTGCCCCTCTCACAAAAACACTCATGAGAAAAAGTTCTTTATACAGCAATTCTATTTTTAAAAAAAAATCACAATTCCTTTATAACTATTTTCCTACTGCTTCAGAAGTCTGACAGCTTAAAGAGGCTTTTAGTAAATTTAGGACTAGCAGAGAACGCGATATAGTACATCACTCTGTAATATAGTCCAATCATTTTTGGTGCAATTTTTCTAACACAAATTTAATCCCACCCTTCCAAAGTGATAAGAGAGAGAAAATGGTTAAGAATGGTTTCTGTAAGAGCTCTTATGCACTAGTAATAATAAATACTTCAGTTCTTCTTTTAAACCACTCAACTACAATTCCCCCTGTGATTTCACTTGACTACATTGTTGTTCCATTCTTTTCCTGCTCTGTAGTACTGCAGTGGAGGGTTAAAGCAGTCATATTTTATTTCCAAACACCACTGCACTCTGTACTGCATTTCTCTTACCCGCTTGATGAAAACTTGTGAGACCTCAGCTATACTTTGATATCCCCTGGAAGATGGTACGTACAAGCACAGGATCTCGCCATGGCAGAGCCCTACAGAAACGCATCAGAAATCTGGTGACCTCGCTCTTAACTCCCTCGCTCCATCGCGGATACCGGCGCGGCCCTGGCAGGTATCAGCCAGAAGGCAACGTTCCGAGGTCAGGAGTGCTTCGGGTACTTCGCTCCTCGGAAGTGAAGGCTCAGCGCTGCTGAGAATTGTATCTGTGGTCCATGTCCTCTTCTTCGCTCGTAACACAGATAAGTTGAAAAAACAAAGCTTCACCCCAGATCGCTGCAGAAGAAATGCCCACATCGGTGTACTTATTAGGAGCAATGGCTCCACCAGCAATTGGGAAGAGTGTCCTTTTTTATTATGAAAAAAAAAAAATCCTTTCCCCAAGCTGTGACAATTTTTGGGTACCAGGGCGTTTAAATCACTGTAATGTAATTAGGGCGTAACATGATTAGTTTCTGGGCAGTCAGGGTGAGCGTTAAGCGCCCGGAGCTTTGCTGAGCAGTGATCCTGTGTCTCTGCACGGGCACAGACCTGGAGCACCACTGATGCTCCTCAGTGGGCGCAGAG